TCCAAACTATCATCAAAATATCAACTTTTCATGAATTGAGAGTACTGATGTACTTAATTTCAATTAAGGCTATGTTTTGGACCATATTTAGCACAATTTATTTTTTATCTCGAAAACAGATAGAGATAGGTATAGGACATTATCAACAAAAAAGTATTAAAATACTAGAGCGATTCCAAAAATGTATCAATATACGGGGTGTTCCATTTAAAAAAATATAATTGCTAGGACTTTTTGATAGAAGTGGCAACGCCGCAATGCTGAAAATATTTTAGATTGATAGAACAGGTAAGGAAATAGAGGTAAAATTTTCAGAAAAATCATGCTTTGCGTTTTCCAGAAACGTCTAACCTACTATCGACCGTGAGTCACGCTGTATATTATAAGTATTATGATAAATAAAAAAAAATTATGGCACTTTTTATATATCATCTTTTCAAGCACTTCGATAACGTTCTCACCCGTAAAACCTTCGCCAGGCAAACACGGCAAACTACTTCATCGAATCCCGAGCACACAATTTTCATACCGCCGGAATAAATTGACTTGTGTTACGTGATTTAAATGGCGCTTATTTAGATCAAATTGAATATGAAATCACTGAGATATTACAATTTGAAGTAGTAGACTCATATAAACGGACAAAACTCTGAAACAGCGAATAGTACCCTGTTGAATGTTTCAGTATCTATTCACCATGTTGTTTGTCAGATCAGTCAAGTGTATATTTTCGACATGAAGTCATTCTTGCATGGTCATATTTATAAACAACTCATTTGCCTACACATTTCCATGTCGGTTGTCACTTTGTTTTTAGTGTCCACCTCGTTAGTTGCTATTATTGTTGAAATGAGATTTAAAATAATGAAAAACTGTAACTTCAGCAAGAAAAAGGGTGAATATATTATGCTGAATGAATAAATTATTCAGGGATTTGCTTTTTCAGTACTTTTTTATTCAATCGCCTTTTAGTAATTTTTTTCGAAGAGTAGCAGCACCACTTTCTAGAACAATATCGAATATTGAAGCTA